TCCACTTAGCCCAGGTGGGTAACAGGTGAGCCCACTGAGATTTGTGTAAATACACCCTATGACGTTCACACGATGACAGTCTCGCCTCACAGTACATTTCTCAGAACGGATCCCTGTCACTAGTGAGGAATGACTAAAAAGTCCACACATTTGAAATGTTTTCTAAAGTCTGCTTTTGGGGACATTCAAACGAAAACATACAAAGGAAACATGTAGTATCACTTTGTGTATGTTAACACCAAAGGAATTGCATGAATTGTCAGGAATGTTCTGTACATTCTCATTGTTCAGAGGATGAAACTGAGTCTTAGAAAGTGAACAGGTTTGTCTGCTGCTTCCCAACTTGTGTGAGGCAGTGCTAGTACTCAGACTCAGGTCTCCTGCTCTCTCTTCATGGTTCTTCCCTACACTGGCACATGAGGGAGGGCTCCGATTCTCCTCACTGTGCCTGTGTCTCCTGGGTTATAAGGTAAAGGGGGCTCAGGAGCTCAGCTGAAGGAACCTGGAGAAATGGGGTAGGGGTCAAAGTGCTGTGGGGCTTATTAAGGTAGACAGAAACTACGAGAGATTGTTCCACTAACTTGCTGTGTGACTTTGGGAACGTTACTTACCTCTCTGATGCCGACATTCTTTTTTTATAAAAAAAAGGACACGTGGGCCCTCCCTGGTGGCACAGAGGGTTAAAGCACAGCACTAAGAAGCTAAAGCCACTTCCACATGAGTTTGATTCCCGCCTGCCCCGGAGGTGACCACATGGCACGGCAGACCTTTCCTGTCCTGCCCGCTGCTCCTCAGCAATGCACTTCAACAATCTGCCTGTTTTGCTCCCTACTCTGTCTCTGGTGAATCCCCTCACCGCCCCTGCGCCTCTGGACTGTACCCCAGCTCTGTATGCATAAATAAATAAATCTTTAAAAAAAAAAAAAGGACACTTGTCATGATACCCAAATGGCTATGAGGTCCACAAGATCATCCATAGGAGGAAAGTCGTCCAGACAAGGCAGGTGCGAACTGGACAGCCCGGGAGCAGGCTCCCGGCAGGACCTATTCAGCTTCACCAGTGCCACCATAAGTGAAGACCAGAGGAGCACAGAAGTAGCTTCTAGCCCCAGGATCACCAGTCTTCCAAATTTTCAAGAGAAGATAGAAATCCACATTGACGTGAGCTCTGGACTTTAAATGTTAGCAGTTAATTGAAAAGAATCACTGTAGGGGCCTCCCTGATGGCACAAAGGAGTTAAGTCTCAACACTATGAAGCAGTCCACAGCCACTGAAGCATCAGTTCAATCCCCTGACACACATGGCACAGCAGGCCTCTCCTGCCTTGCTATCTGCTCCCCTCAGCAGTGTATTTCAGTAGATCCACCTGTTCTGCTCCCCTCTCTGTCTCTGGTGAATCCCTTCATCCCCCACCCCTGCATCTCTGGTCTACACTCCAGCTCTTATATGCATAAGTGAATAAAAATAAATCTTTAAAAGAATCACTGTGGGGCCAATCAAAATAGACCTATGGCCTAATATGCCTAGTAGCTCAGGCAAGGGAGGGGAGAGGTTGTTCAACATTTGTGCATTCAGTACTCCGAAAGCCCTACTGGTGCCAGCTGTTAGAGACAGTGGTGCAAGACTGATGTGCACGAGCTGTCACGGGACCTGCTCCCTAAGAGTTTAGAGTCCAACCCCTGGTCTCCCTCCAACACCCACTGAATGGAGACACCATTCTCTGCATCTCCAGAGAGCAGCCTGGTTGGGGTGAGATTGAGATTCATGCTTCCCACCCTACCAGGTTGAATATAATAATAGTCCAAAAAAGGAATAATGTCCAAAAAGGAAAGTAGCAAGTTGGCAAAGTTGTGGAGAAACCGAAGCCCTCATTCGTTGCTGTAGAATGCAAAGGGTGGAAAGCAGTTTGGAACTTCCTCATGGTGTTAAACAAGGATTACTACAGGACCTGCAATCCCACGGAAACTGAAAACAGATGCTCAAGCCAATATATGTACGTATATGTTCATGATTGCACTATTCACAATAGCCAAAAGGTGAAGAAAACCCAAGTGGCATCTATGCATGAGTGAATAAACAAATTATGGCACATATGCACATATCATAAAAATATTGTTCAACCATAAAAAAGAATGAGGTACTGCTAAATGCTTCAATGTGGATGAACCTTGAAAATATGCTAGATGAAACTTGAAAAGATGCTAGATGGAGGAAACTTGAAAAGATGCTAGATGAAGGAAGCCAGACACAAAAAACCATACAAACCTATTGTATGATTCCCTTCTATGAAATATCCAGAGTAAATAACTTATAGATATGAAAGATGATTGGCAATGACCAAGAGCTGGGAGGAGGGGAAATGAGAGTTTCCTTTTAAAGGAAATGAGTATGGAGTTTGCTTTGGGGATGATAAAAATGCTTTGGAACTCCCTAGAAGTGTTGGTTGCACAAGATTGTGGCTGCATTAAATGTCACTGATTTTTCACTTTAAAATTATTTTCTAACAGTATGTGAATTTCACCACAAAAAATATTTTAAAAATTTTATGCTACATAAAAGTGCTTTGCTAGAATGGTGAAATAAATTATGGCAATCAAAACAGTACATTATGTAATACAGCCATCAAAAACTCAAGAACAGGCCCTCCCTGGTGGTGCAGCGGGTTAAAGCACAACACTGAGAAACTAAAGCCGCTTCCGCATGAGTTCGATTCCCGCCTGCCCCGGAGGTGACCACATGGTGTGGCAGACCTCTCCTGACCCGCCCACTGCTCCCCTCAGCAGTGTACTTTGATCATCTGCCTGTTCTGCTCCCCACTCTGTTTCTGGTTGGTGCTCTCACCCTCCACATTTCTGGCCTGTACCCCAGTTCTGTATGAATAAATAAATCTTTAAAAAAAAAAAAAACTCAAGAACATTGTAATGACATAGAAAAAATACTTACAATGTAGTGTGAAATAAGGAGGATAAATGTTGTATGAGTAACATTTTACTAATTTTGTTAAAAATGTACTAAGGACTATAGAAATACACTAAAATATTTGTTACCCACATAGAAAAAAATCATACTTTCATTGCTTGAGTACCTACTAAGTCAGGCACAGGGAACAAGGTGCAGGAAGACCTTCACTCTCCTGTAGCAGAGAATGCGATACCTGCAAGAGCAGCATGGGTCTAGAGAGACTGGAAGGGTTCATCTCTTCTCTCCCCTGGCTCTCCACGAGGCTCAACTCCTCCTCTCTACAAAAGGAGAGGTCATCTGTGCCCCTTTGGAGAGCATTCGAGCCTCTGGTGTTTTCCCCAAGAAACACCTACTCCTGTGGCCAGTGGACCATGAGCACAGGCCCAGCAGTCTCCTGCTGTGAACACCTGGCAGGACCTGCATGGTCATCAACAAGCAAGTGGGTGATAAGGTGGGGTGGTGACCTACCCACTGAGACGCTCCAGTTGGAATGATCGAACTAGACTTCTGTTTTTCATTGTGGCCAGATGCCAACCACTTAATGATAAGAAGTTCTTAATGATAAGAATTCAAAAATAAAGAGAAATCGCAAAAGACGCCCAAAGATAGCATTTGTATAGATGTCTACAAGACAACAAAGTCATGTGTATTGTTTGTACATACATATCTATGGGATGTGTGTGTGTGCATGTGCGCCCGTGTGTGCATAGATCAGGATGACTAAAATTCAAGACAGTGTTACTGGGAGAAAGACCCAGGACTCAAGGGATGCAAGGTGGGGAGGTTTCAGTACTGTTACTTTTAGTAATTTGATGTTTTAAAAATCTGAAGCAAACAGGACAAAATATTAACATTTGTTAATTTTTGGGAGAAGTTAGTCTTTTGTTCTTTTCCTTTTCCTATATTTTAACTCCTGTTCCAGAAGGGTATAGTGAAGAGAAAGTGGGGAAAAGATACAGGCACCTGCTGAGGCTTTCTCTGAACCTGCCAAAGGTCATGCCAAGAGTTCTCAGGGTGACACCCCTCGGCCGGCATCATCGGCATCTGGGAATTGGATTCAGAGCTACAGAATCCAATACTCTGGGGTTGAAGTTCAGAAATAGGCATTTTAACCTATTCTGAGAGCTGGTTCTGGTGTACCACTGGAGTCTGAGAACCCCGGGGCTAGACCACATTGCTGTGTGGTGTACTGGGCACTACTGCATCTACCAGGCAGCCTGAGAACCTCCCTCAGTAACTCAGTCCAGCCCTCAAAAGAACCCTGAAGAGGACTTAGCATCATCCCCACCTACCGCTGTGGAAAGAACCTATCTCCTGTCCCAAAGTCCATCCCTTAGCTTGCTCCTAGAAACCTCTTCCTTTAACCACTACACAAATTGTCAGACATCAGCTCTCAGATACTCTAGCTCAATGCAGCCTTGGAAGGAAGAATGAACAGTTTCATTTGACAGTGGTGGAAACTAGAACTCAGGGAGGGACAGTGACTGGCTCAAAGTTTCACAAGAAGGAATATGAAAGGCCAGACTTCCTGCAGCTTGTGCAGATTTGGGCGTTATACCTAGACCATGGGGACCAGCGAGCCCCAGGTGCAGCCCCCTGCCCGGCGTGGCCCTCCTTGACCGGTCACCCACCCCCACCAGGAACTGCCAGGGCCTTCCCCACCCGGGCTCCGCGAACCCCATCCCTTCCTTCTCGTTTTTTTTTTTTTTTCTTTTCTTTTCTTCTTCTTTTGCAAAGGGGAACCTAGATAGCCAGAGAGCTGGCAGCTCGAGCGTAAAGTTGCTCGGTGGCCCGAGCGCCCCGCCCCGCGGGCTTTCCCAGGTTCGCAGCTGGGCACCCTCCCCTCCGCGGGGTTGGCCCCTCATCACAAAACCAGCCCACCTGTCCTCCACCGACCCTCCGAACTTCCTCAACCCCTTGACATCGCCTCCCCGCCCCCCCTAGCCTTGCCCACCACCCGGGGCTTCTTTGTAGCGGGAAGACCCTCAGGACAATCTTACCACCTGGTGTCCTGGGCTCCCGCGTCCTCCGCACTCACCTGGGTGCCGGCTCTTCTGGCGGGCAACCCGGATTCTCGCAGCTCGAGCGCCCCCCCAGCTCTGCAGCTACCGGGGTCCTGGGACGCCCGCGTCCAAAAGAAGCTGAATTAACTTTCGAGGAAAAGGGCAGCACTCGGAGGGGCGTCCGCGCTGCGGGGCTTCTCCGGCTCCTGGTGCACTGAGCCGTCTCGGACCCCCCCGACTCTCCTCCGGGCCTCGGAGATGCGCGGGGCTGGAGCCCGGGACCCAGCGGCGCCCACAGGCCCTCGGATTGCCTTGGCCGCGCCCGCGGCGATGCTAAACCCGCCCCCGAAAATTCTAGCTCCACCCTCATTCTGATCTCCGTCCCCGCCTCCTAAAATCCAAAATTTGCTGCCTAAGGCGATTTTAAGGATGCCTCCGGAGGATCCGAACACCGTTTTGAAGGATAAGAACCCCGCCCCCAATACTTTCAACCCGCCCCTCCAGGGATCCTAACCGCCAGCGCCCTCCTCCCAATAGCCTAAGACTGCTCGGAAGGTATTTTAGTGCCGCCGCCCAAAGCCCTCCTGGGTCCCCCAAGGATTCTAAACCCCACCCTCAGGGATTCTAACTCGACCTCAAAAGAAACCTAACACCATTTCCTGTTCCCCAAATCCTAATTCTGCCCCCAAAGCTATTCTGAATGCCACATTTTAAGGATTTTTAATCTCTCCCATTGGAGAGTCTTAATCCTACCCCTCGCTCCACCCCCCAACCCCCCAAGAATTCTAATCCGGCCAACGAAGGATCCTCACCCCTCTAATCCTGCCCTAGAGATCTAGATCTCTAACCCCAGGGATCCCCACCCCGCTGCTGAGTGACTCCAACTTCGTTCCCAAAGAATTTTAGTCCGCCGCCCCCTACCCCGGGTTCTAATTAGCCCCTCCAAAGATTCCGGCACCCCACATTCCAGAGGATGCTTACTAACCTCATCCTCGCCTCTCGCACAGGATTCTAGTCCACTCTGACCCGTCCTCCCCACACCACCACCATTCCATTCCCGCCCCACGCCGATCCCAAGCCCTCCCGGCCCTCCCGTGCTCAGTGGTTTCGGTTCCACAGGCTGCACTATTCAAACGCCATGCAAAATCCCTCACCCGCAGGCACCGCCTGGGCTCATCCCTGGCCAGCTTTAGGGCAATTTTCGAGGACCTCGCAAATTGAGTGGACGCGAACCGGGCTGAAGGCCCACGATGAAGGAAATGTGCCCAGCACCAGGTTAAGGGGGAGCACGGGCGGGGGGTCCTGAAAATTCCGCCGCGCACACCTCTAACATGTGCAGGAATCCTGCTGCAATCCCACTGCTACCGGCCAGTTTAGGCGTCGTCATCTCTCCTCGTTCATTCGGCAACTCGTGCTGGGTGCGGGGCTCCCCAGGGCTTCTGAGACTCAGCACTGTCGACTTCTGGGTGGCGCAATTCTTTGTTAGGAAGGGCTGTCCTGTGCCTGATGTGTTTAACAGCATTTCTGGACTCTGACCCCACTAGGTGCCAGCAGCTCCCCCCACCTCCCTGTACTAACCAAAACTGTCTTCAGACAGGACCAAATGTCCCCCACTCCCGCGACAGAATGACATGTGAGGAAGATAACGACTCGGTTTGTGTTTGATATATGTGCTTAAATATGTGCATGCACTTAAAAAAATTAGATACTGTTTCACTGTGCGCTCAGTTTATTTGAATGGTATACTTGTTCAGTCTTGTCCCTACTACTATCTAGCCACACTGCTGAAGGTAACAGTTGTGCCATCATTTTCTCCACCCGTCACAGCTTATTTATCCACCCCCTAATCATGGGCACCTGTACTGCGCATGACTTCACACCACCTTAACCAGTGCCAGGTGGACGTCCTCCCACACGGCCCTTGTGGAGCCTAGTCAGAATTTTGGGACTTGTTTTGCCAAGAATGACAGATGCTTGTGGAAAAACTGCTTCCCTAGTTCTTCTCTTACTGTCTGTCTTCTCCTCTCACTGGCCTTAATTTCAGTTCTCCCGAAGCACACCCTGGGACATCCAAACGAAAGTAAGTTATTTGGGAAATACAGAAAACACTGGTAGGGGTGTGAATGAATGGGACAGGGTAGGAAAAGAAGCCAATTAAGAAAGCAAGTCACGGACCTCTCTGGTGGTGCAACAGGTTAAAGTGCAGCACTATGAAGCTATCTGCAGCCACAGCAGCACAAGTTTGATCCCTGGTGCCAGGGAGCTGACCCACATAGTGCAGCAGACCGCTCCTGCCTCACCCACTGCTCCCCTCAGCAGTGTATTTCAATGGATCTGCCTGTTCTGCTCCCCACCCTGTCTCTCACTGCCTCTTCAACTCTGGTCTGTACCCCAGTTCTGTATGCATAAATAAATAAATCTTTAAAAAAAATAAAGTAGTATTTTAAAAGAATAAATAAAGTAATGCTGCAATAAAAACACTTTACATGTTCCCCAAAGTCCTATAACTTTATTGTAGCATAGTTTTAGAAATAAAATTCACCATATAAATATCCAGCTTCATGAGCCTGGCAAATTTTTACACCTGTGTAACTGCTATCCTAACTAAGGTCGACAACATTTTGATCACCTCAAAAGTTTCCTTTTGCCCTACTACATAGTCCACTTCTCCCACCCATTGCCTTAGATAATCACTGATGAACTCTTTTCATAGATTAGCTTTGTCTTTTCTGGAATTTTACATAAGTGTAATTATATTCTACATTTCTTATATATTTGTTTCCTTTTATTCACATGTTGCTTTTGAGATTTTCCATATTGTTACATGTTAGGGCATTCCACTTTTTTTTTCCTACTGAGTAATATTTCATACTCTAATATAGCCCCATTGTTTATCATTTACTTACTAATGGACACTGAGTTGTTTTTAGTTTTTGGTAACACGAATAAAACTATTATGAACCTTCACATACATGTTTTCATTTCTCTTGGGTAAAAAACTTAGGACTCAAATTGCTGGGGCATAAGAGTAGATGTATGTTTAACTTTATAACAGACTGCTAAATTGATTTTCTAAGGATACACCATTTTACATTCCTACCAACAATGTTCAGTTTCTGGTTTCTGCATATCCTTGCCAGAGTGGTATTGTCATTTTTAACCAAAAGAATATTTTCCATCTAACTCAGAAGAGCATTTATACAATTATAGATTTTATCCCAAAACAGTACTTTGCCAGCATTTGGGGTGGTAGGCCTCTGTCATCATGGGGAATATAACACCACGAGATGTGGTGTTAAATGCTGCATCTTTGGAGTCAAACCAGAATTCAAATGATACATATGAACTGAGTGACTTTGTACAATTGAGTCTCCTCTCTGTACCTCTGTTTCTTTATCTAGCAATTGAAATTAATAATGGTACTTATCTCAGTGATTTATTGTGAGAATCAACAAACATCTCATGTCCAAGGATGATATGGATTATAAGAAAAATAAAACAGGTCAAGGAGAAAGGTAGTGAGAGGGGAGAGAAGTGATGGTGTGACTTGAAACATGGCCTTTCTTCAGGGAGGGTATGTGAGCAGGCGCTGCTGAACTGGGGGGGTCAATCGTGTGGTGATCTGGAGAATGTGTGCTCCAAGCAAAGGAACAGCAGTAGCAAAGGTCCTGGGGTTTGGTGCGTGTAAGGATGTGAGGATATGAGGAATCCAGTGTTGCTGGCATAGAGTGGGTGCAAGGGGTAGAGATGATATTGGAGAGACAGAGAGGTCAGATTGTGAGGCCCTGAATGTCTTGACATGAAACTTAAGTGGAGGAGATGAGAACCACTGGAGGGTTTTGAGCACAGGAGTAAGCTACACTGTTTCAGTGAGACCTCTGTGGCTGCTGGGTGGAATGGATTGGAGGGGCCCAAGGAAGTAGGGAATCCGGTAAGCAAGCTGAGGCAGTCATCCAAGGGCCAGATGGTGGTGGTATGGGCCAGGGTGATGGCAAATGACAATTGTTGGAGCTCAGGAAGGGAAAAGAATGCCTGAGTCTTTCATAGGTATTTTCAAGAATAATCACTGAGGCAATGCTTTTACTAGGAAAGGATTGGAAATAAATGTGCATCATTTAGGGACTGAGAAAAGAAGTGACAATATAATAATGGAGTACAAAGAAGTCAGAAAGAATAAAGATGTAGGAAAACTCAATATCCTAAATGTATAAATAACAGTATAAAAAAGACACGTAATTGAAAGTGGGTCAGAGAATTGAATAGCTATTTCCCCAAAGTAGTCAATATCACTAGTCATTATAGAAATATAAATTGAAGTCACAATGAAATGCCACTTCACATCCCTAAGGATGACTATAATAAAAAAGACAGATAACGGCAGTGACTGATGAAACTATGAAGAAATGAAAACTCTCATATCACTGGCAGGAATTTTAAGTAGTACATTTGTCTTGGAAAACTATTTAGCAGTTTCTAAAAAGGCTAATGGAGTTATCATATGAATTAGCAACCCTACTTCTACATTTATACCCAAGAGAATTAAAAATATATGTCTTCATGAAAATTTTATTACTATATTATTCACAATATCCCCAAAGTGGAAATAACTTCAGCTTTCATCAACAGGTAAATAAAATGTGGTAAATCCATTCAACAGGATATGATTTTATAATAAAGAGATATGAAGTACTGATACATGCTACAACATGGATGAACTGAAAATATTATGTTAAATGAAAGAAACAAGTCACAAAAGACCACATGTTGTGTGATTCCATTTATATAAACTGTCTACATTAAGGCAAATCCATAAAAAATAAGTAGATTAGTGTTGCCTAGAACTGGGGATTGGAGACAAATAAGGAGTGATAGGTCATGTGAATGGGCGTTTTTTAGTGGGGGGACAGTGGGTAATAAAAATGTCCTACAGGGTGGTGCAGCGGGTTAAAGCAGTGCGCTGAGAAGCTAAAGCCACTTCTGCATGAGTTCGATCCCCGCCTGCCCCGGAGGTGACCACATGGCGCAGCAGACCTTTCCTGACCCGCCCGCTGCTCCCCTCAGCAGTGTACTTCGTAGATCTGCCTGTTCTGCTCCCCACGCTGCCTCTGGTGAAGCCTCTCATCACCCCTGCCCCTCTGGCCTGTACCCCAGTTCTGTATGCACAAATAAATCTTAAAAAAAAAAAAGTCCCACAATTAATTGTGGT